AAAGTGTTCCAAACATTGTCCTAAATTAACTTCATAAAGCAATGAAACGAAAACTCCATTCATGCCATAAAATGTGCTCAAATAGTGGTTGAAAGACTGAATCTCAACATTTAGGCTGCTGAAAACTCACTTCATTACCTGCGCCCACATCGCAAATGGTGAGGAGGTAGGCTACATGACCAGTCTCTGTAATAGGCCTATATGAAAGCTACTAACCTAAAATAGATAGCCTACGTTCAAAAAAAAATTTAGTATTTAAATATCCCTACCAAACTACTCATAATATTCAGCCTAACATAAGAACAATGAAACCCATTTATTGTAATGGCTGCGACAGGCTGTGTGAAACGGACTGGGAGCAAATAAAAAATATTAAACAAATTTCAAAGCAAGTAAGTAGGCTTACTGTAAAAACCTGTAGGCAACAATCGCCTAAGGCCTTTAATCAGTCTCCGTAGGATGATATGGCTTTAGCCTACAAGAGTTTCTCCACATCACCGCAGCAAACATAAAGCAGCCTATAAAACAGTCTGTGGGATTTCCTACAGATGGTGATGTCATTTTTCAAGAGAGCTGATTGGTCAGTAGGGGGCGTTTTCATAGGGTTGATCTCTTATTTGGAACCTCTCCGGAGCAGGTTAGCAGTTCAGCAAAAGTTGCCATGGCGATCTACCCCGGTAAGAAGTGAACCACTTTTGTGGTACTGAAAACCCAGGGTTGACCCCGAAGTTACCTGGATAAGCTCAAATCCTGCTTCGTGTACAGGCCCCTGGCCTTGCGCCAGCATACCAGTCACCCCAGCAGAAGGATGTATCCATATATCATGGATTGTATCTGAGACTTTGGTTGTATTTGGAATACTTCAAACAACTTAATAGGGCAATTCAGTTTTATCAAACAAGGCAAAAAGACAACAATCAATTGCATTTGGGCACCAGAACAAAGCAGCAAACACACAGGTCATAATGCAGGGACCATAATTCAAGAAGATAAATAAACGCTCCGTATAGCATTTTCGACCACTCAAAGCACTTTTACACTACATCTGCATTCACCATTCACTGATCCTAAGTGCTCAAACAGAAACTAACATTCACACTCATACACTGGCGGAACAGCCACCAGGGGCAATTTGGGATTGAACCGCCGACCTTCTGATGAATGGGCAAACCGCTCCACCTCCTGAGCCACAGCCACCCTTATAGATAAATGGATAATAAATATTAAGTAAATACATACAGAGGTTTACGCCTGGCACATGTCTAGTTGCTGCTGTCAGCAGTATTTAAAAGCCTGATGGCAGAGGGAATAAAATAATTTGCATGCATTTGTTCATTTTTCTTGGGGGGCGAGGTAGCGCCGTCCTGAGGGCATTAAACAGAATTCCTGACTAAGACCATGTTCATGGAAATGCTCAGGTCTGTCTGCTGAACTCCAATAATCTTGGAGCAGATTTTAACAATGCTGCAGAGGCTATTCTTGTCCTTCACAGACAATCCATAAAACCAGCAGATAGAAGAAAATGTTTAAAGACTTTCAATAAACGAATAATAAACGTTACATAAGATACTCTGGGAAACATTAAAATAATTTAGCTTCCGCATCAAGTGGATTCTATGCTGTCCCCGCTTAGCGATAGACTCTTTGTCTTTGTCAAACTTGAGGTTGGAGTCAAACATGGTTCCTAAGTACTTATGCGTCTCTACAATTTCAACATTTTCACCATGAATAATGCTGGCTTCTGGGTTAAAACTGTTCTTCCTAAAATCAATGATTAACTCCTTAAGTGCAATTTATACTTCAAATTGACGGCGTAGCCCCCTACCTATTTTGTACTATGTTTTGTCACATGAAGGTAGGTAGTTATCATCACACCACTTCACAAATGCTGATAAGGCACTCCCATGACCCGATTGAGCCCCCTGAAGAAGTGACAGTAGGGCAGTGTCATCAGAAAATTTTACAAGATAGCTACCCTGTTGGAAGTCCTGCAGTTATCTGTGTACATAATAAAGAGCTAAGCACAAAGGACACAGCCCTGCGGAGAACCTGTGTTTGAAGTGATGATACTGGACATGTGGCCATTCACAAATACCTGCTGGAGTCTAAGAGCAACAATAAAATCTGATCAGGTAGATTAAAATAAGAGGCAAGTCGCTCAATTAAAATATGAGGCTTCATCTTGTTAAAAGCTGAAGAAACATCAGCAAATACAAGTCTTACATGTGATTTGCTTTTTTTCAAGGTGCTTGTATAATCTGTCTAAAATGAAGATCTTAGAGTCATCCACACCTTTCCCAGCTTGAGAGGCAAATTGTAGTGGATCTAGTTTGCCATCGATTAGGGAGACAATTTCATCTTTCAGTATTTTCTCGAAATCTTTTATCACAAGTGATGTTAATGCAACTGGTCCGAATTCTTTCAGTTATGTTGGATTATTGGATTTCGGTACAGGTATTATAGTTGATGTTTTCCGTGACCTGCTTGGTCTCACAGGAAGACTGATTAATTGATGCCATTGATTTTATACCTGTCCTGAGGTCCCCTCTAATATACAGACTTACAATTTCAGTTCAAGTCACATATTGTTCATATGTCCTCAAAGTTTTTTTTTTTTTAGATTGCAGTGATTAAAATCTCCCAGGATAAACCTGGATGCCTCTGGGCAGATGTTTCCAATTTATGCGTGACATCAGTGATCAGCTGGGCAGCAGCTGTGGCATTGGATCGTGGGTGAATGAAATTCACGAGGCAAGTAAAAGGGGCGGAGAGAAAAGGTCAATAATTCCACATCTGTAGTACATGTATTCTCTCTGAACACAACAGTGTTACAGTACCATTTGTTTACGTAGAAGCACACAGTTCCTCCTCGGTTTTTGCCGGTGATCTGCGGTGACCGGTCCGAGTCCGGGTCTGCATCACAGAGCCATGTTTAGGTGAAGGCAAGGACACAAGTGTCTTTTACTTCCCCTTTAAACTTGGCGTATGTTTGACTGTATGTCTGACAGCAGGACTGAAGGAATAGATGTACTACTCCCTCCTGCCTGCAGAGGGTGTAGTTTACACTGAAACAAGCATTGTTGGAGACTGATTGACAGAGTAGTTCAGGGTGTTGGGTGCCTTAGGTGGTAGGCTGCATGTTGTCGTGCCTCCATTGGCCACAAGGAGGAGAGAAGCCTGATAATCACTGGGTTCAGTCCGACAGTTGGATTGTCTGAAGTCCACATCAAAACCAGATTCAATAATGTTCCATCCCATTTGAACGGCTTCTCCAAAGACAACCTGTGTTGTCCAAAATGTGGAGAAGTCAACCAGTTTTATCCTTTAAAGCAACGATCATCCCACAATGTGTTGTACACCAATTCAGCCATAAAGTTGGGGAAATAATCGTGTATTAAACTAGTACTGATATTTACACTTTGCTGGCAGTGATAAACTTGGGAAATATATTGATTTTTATGAGTTAAATGTGGAGCATGTGAACACACCAATCGTTTTTGTTGGTGTGAGGTCAGCAAGTCTTGTGCGCAGGTTCAGCCTGACCCTCAGGTCCTCTCAAAGACCCCCCCTTCACAGCTGATCCAGCATCAGATGTAAAACACATAAAAAATTTTTTATTTGTTTTTGTATATTGTTGCGGATTTGAATTCATGTGACCTTCCACCCCTGACAGCTTTAACTTCTGCTTCCCATTCAGGAGCGGACAGCTGTGCTAGCAACTTTAGCAGAGAAGGCCAGGCTAACAGAGGAGGTCTTCAACACGGTACCCGGTATCACCTGTAACCCTGTGCAGGGGGCCATGTACACCTTCCCCCGCATCACTCTGCCTCAGAAGGTCATCGACAAGGCAAAGGTCCGCACTGCACACATACACGCCTTACTTCACTGACGAACACCACCCTGATTTACTTGTGTGTTTCCATCCACAGGAGGAGGGCCAGGTCCCAGACATGGTCTACTGTATGAGGCTGCTGGAGGAGGAGGGTATCTGCCTGGTACCGGGTAGTGGCTTCGGCCAGAGAGAGGGAACCTTCCACTTCAGGTCAGTACAGCTAAACTGGCGGCCTCAGTTCCATCTCTGTATGGTCCTGGGTATTTTACTGATTCAATGTTAGTTTAAAAGTTTTGTTGTCATGAAAGTAATTTGGAGTTCAGTTCAGTGCCTTCAAGTGTAGTATTGCTTCTGATTTAACCACATCTTTGACAGTACTGCTGGGAAACTGCCCCTCATGCTGTTGCCTCTTCCTTTGTCCAGGATGACCATCTTGCCTTCTACTGAGAAGTTGAAGATCGTACTGCAGAAGATCTGCGAGTTCCACCTGCGGTTCACGCGGGAATTTTCTTAACGACCCCCCCAACTTTCAAGAACCAACTCATATTCTGTGCCAGTATCGTCAAGTGCCTTTATGTGAAGGAGGCAATGTTAACCTCCTACAATGCACATCTCTCAGCTCAAAGCTGGATTCTCGCTAGTTCACACGTTTAAAGACACTTTGACATCAGTGAAGAACTTTGAATGTTCCCTTGTTTAGACAGAGTGAAAGCTAGTCCTGCTCATGTGTTCGTACATGTGAATGTGATTTTCAGTACATGATGCACTTTCCCAAAGTATTACTGGGCCAGGTTTTTGTTCAAAAATATGTTAGTTCTGACTGTGTTACCTATAGGGTTTAAGATATCTTCAGATGTTGTCACAGAAGCTGCTATGGGAGCATCTCTCTCCCAGCAAAGACTTATAATACAGCCAAATTAGGTAGAAGTATCAATTTAATAACTTTGATTAATCTGATTTGGCTGTAGAGCCATTTGTTTTACTAATGTTTAAATTGTTCTTAAATGTGATTAAAAAACTTGATTTTGTTATACACTTGTTTTCTGAAGTGTATGCAGTGCCAGCTCTTACATTTGGAATATATTTGCAAAACCTTTTCCAGCTTCACATTGTATTGATTTACAGAAACAAAGTAAAGAGTCAGTGAAGTGCTGGCTCACAAAGCCGCCATCATTTAAGTTTTATTTAAAAAGTGTAAATTGTCAGTGCTTACATGCTTTTAGAAACAGAAGAAAGCGGAATCTCATGGAATGAAACAGAAACTAAAACAATGATTGAAAATTTTAATCACAGCAACTCAGTAACACAGTTTAACTCCGCTGTATTCCCTTCACCTTCCCAGAGGCCTCAGCGTCAAGACTCTCCCCGAGCGTGGAAAAAGAGTTCTTAGCTACTCGTGTAGATATATTTTCAAAGTTCATCTCTCTTCTGTGATAGCTTTGTGGCATGCTTTTCTATGAACTTGCTGAGCCCGTCTACTGTTCTGTCTCCACCTTCTAATTTGACAGGGTTCTGCTTGCTGTTGCTTGGTGCAAAGTATATCGTAGGGAAACCTTCCACTTTGTAGCTCTCATTTGGCACATCGTTGGCTGTGGCGTCCATCTTGGCGATCACCAGGTTCTTCTCCCCTTTGTACTTCTTGCCCAGGGCCAAATAATCAGGCTCTAGTTTCTTACAGTGGCCGCACCAGGGAGCGTAAAACTCGATCAGGACGTCCTTCTGGGTATCCATGATGATCTCGTCAAAGGTCTTTCCGACCACAACCTTAACTGGTCCTTTGTTGTTCTTTGGCACTGGCTGGGATTTGATGATGGGTTTGAGCTTTCCTGTGGACAGAAGTTAGAATTTCAGAACAAGTGTGAAACCGCTTTTATCAAAACATTTAAGACAGCGCATGTTACTGGCGAAAGACTGCATGTACCTCACATAGCTCATCAGACTAATAGATCAGGGCTAATGAGACATGCTACTTCTACATGATCCTTCATCATTCGGTAAACAAACTCAACACTCACCTTTCTTGAAAGCCACAACAAAGTCTCTCAGCACCTCAGAGTCAAACTCCTCTGGCTCCATGGCAAACTTTTTGCCTCCGTCTGCCAGAATTCCCACATTCACTTCCTCTCCGCTCTCGCTCAGGCCCAGGCTCTTCAGCTCTTCTGCAAAGTCCTCCTCATCAGCGATGGCAAATGTGTATTCTGGGAAGTCCTTGGCAACCTCAAGCACCTTGGACCTCCAGAACTGTGTAGCTAAAAATTAAAAAACAAAAAGGTACATTTGTTACTGTGAATTCATTATGACACCATTATATGCTGAGCACAAACCTACAACCAAACTCGCATTAAAGAAAGTAAAATTTATTACACCAGCACTCAAGACAGTGGATTACTGTCTGTTTAGTAAAATCCCGTCAAGTCAAACCGACCAATTTAAATATGAGAAACTCACCTTTCCTGTAGTCAAAGCTGAAGTCAACTCCATAGTACACAACCACCAGGGGTCTTTTGGTGTAGCGCTTGGCATCATTGCTTGGTTTTCTGTGACCCACCAGAGGAATCGCATGCTTTTTGAAGAACTCCTGCACGTCTGACACCGATGTAGAGTCCTGTGTGATAAACAAATTGTTTCTTAAGTTCAAATCTGACTTTTCCAAATCTATCAGCTTACTTACTGCTAATCTAGTCTATTTTTACACCGATACTACAACTGAAAGAATGCAGAGGCACTTAAGATTCAGTTTCATACCCCATGAAACCAATTCAAATCACAACTAGTAAAAAAAAAAAAAAAAAAAAAGGTTTAAAATGGTAAAACAGCAGTACCTTCACTGCCAGTGTGTGCGACGCTGGCTCGTACTTTGAGTGGAACTTTTCAGGGTGAACAACGACAATCTGACCAGGCGAAGCTTTGAGCAGTTTCATCACTTCGGAGCTGAAGGAGTGACGGAAGGTGAAGTCTTCCCTCAGTGCATTACCTGCAAGACAGACAGGCAGCAATAAGAGAACCAGCCACATGTCCATGTAAAGAACAACAAGAGTTTAGGACAGACTGTGCTCTCACCACACAAATATTAGAACTTAGACAGTGATGGATATATATAGCGCACACAGAAATGCAGTTATTGTTTAGCGTCACTCAAACTGCACATTCAGTGGTGACATAATTGGTGAGATGCTCTGAACACATTCTCCAGCTCGTGGTACTTACAGGCCTCAACGTAGAGCGCATAACCTGCATCCTGTTCACTGGAGAACAGGCCGACTATGACAGCATCGTCGCCATCCTTGATGAGCTCCTGCACCTGTTTGACTGCCTGGACCTGCTTGGAGGGAGGCCCTGCCTGCTCACTCATGAAGTCAACAATGCCTACAGGGAAAGAATAAAAAAAAAAAAAATAAAAAAATGCGTACACAGGCCTGCATACATAGAAAACAGCGAGGATAGACCTGAAAGACTCTGTAGTATAAATTACATCACGCAGCAAGAGACCTACCGTGCTGCTCTCTGGGTCCGTTGTAGTCGAACACCTTGCCCTTCCTGAAGATCTTGAGGGTGGGATAGCCTGTAACATCAAAACGTGAGGCGATGTCACTCTCCACAGTGGCGTCCACCTTGGCCAGGGGAATGGGAGGAGAGCGCTTGCTCAACTCCTTGGCTGCCTTCTCGTACTCTGGAGCCAAACGCTTACAGTGTCCGCACCTAGAGGTCAGTTATAACAGGCACATAATTAGGGGGAAGGTTTCATTTGTCTTTACAGCCACTATTAATAGGCTCAGCTAGCACATCAATGGATGCCAGTGTCTGATCTGTATTTTATAATTACAAGTGTTCTGACTGACCATGGAGCGTAGAACTCCACCAGGATGATGTCCGCGTTGTTAACGATCTCATCAAAGTTGTCCTTGGTCAGCACCAGCGTCGCCTCAGGAGGGGGCTTCCAATCTGGATGAGCCACCTCTTTCATTCGTGCCACAATAGCTGCAACACACAGGCATCCGCCACATCACTGCCAACTCTTCTCAAAAAGGGAGGTCAGGTTTGGTTTGGGAAACCGTGACAATGCTTAAATTAATTACTTATTCCTACCCTTCTCTGTCCTTTCTCCGTCGTAGTCCAGGGGCTCCCCGTTTTTCAGGATCTTGATGGTGGGATAGCCCGACACCTCGAACCTGCTCGCTAACTCAGTGGCTACTGTTGCGTCCACTTTGGCCACAGGTAGAGGAGGGTCATTCTCTTTAAGAGTCTGAGCGATTTTTTCATACTCTGGGGCAAACTGTTTGCAGTGGCCACACCTTAAGAAGGAAACAAAGAATACAGAAATATTGAAACATTTGCAGGGACATGGAAAGTAAGAAGCACGCGGTAAAATCTTTGAATAGGGAATGGGCTGGAGCAGAGAAATAAAGTGGAATAACAGACATACCAAGGGGCATAAAACTCAACCAGGACTGTGTCTTTGCCCTCAATGAAAGTGTCATAGTTGCGGTCGGTGAGAACCAGCACTCCATTCTCTTCTTTCACCTCTGTGTCATCTTCATCATCATCATCATCATCCTCCTCCTCCTCGTCGCTGTCCTCTTCATCAGTCTCCTCCTTCTCCTCTGCAACATCTAGCAGCAAAAAATAAAAAAGGACAAGTTTATTCCAGAGGAGTAACGTTACAAGCTCAGACAGCGAGTTTAAAAATGTTTGTTTGAGTCCTTATAGATGAAAGGAAACAAAGCGAGTATAGACACAACATGTAGCATGAAGCATGAAGAGATAGCAACACACGTCCTGTTTGTAACTGAAGGAATGTCACGATGTTGCACACTAACAATGTAACGTTGGAGCAGAAATGGGACCAGCTCAGTTATGATTTTGGATATGCCTCACGTCAGCTACAAGCCGGGTACCTGCATATTTGTATATGGTCGGCAGTCCTATTGACATGAGCTGACCTGTCCTGTTTGCTAGCGTGCTAACAGATCTAGCTAATTCTACAGTAACTGAGCCAGCTGGTTTGCATAACAGTAGCTTGCCGGAAACACCCGCCGGCAGAGACACTACTTCACATAAATAACTCGTTCACTTGTGATAGACGCCATAAGGCTGTCAAAAGGCTCAGACTTACCATCTTCACATCTGCTGACAGTCGCAAAATGTGCAACGCCGAGCAACACAATCAGCAGCAGAGCAGCCTTCTTCATTGTGCACAGACGACGTGTTCACGACGCGCTTCTTCGAAGTAGCCGGCTAATTAACTTAGCTAATAATGCTGATGAATATCATCAAAACACTGTTTGCTGCACAGACTCGCTGTCCGGATCAATACTGACGTGTGGCTGTAGCTCGCCTTTGGCTCGTGGCTTCATACAAATTAATCACTTCTGAAATCACGCACGCCTCCTCCTCCGTCTGGAACTTGTCTGACTTGCCACGTTCTGATTGGTCGTCATCGTCGGCTGTCCTCCAATCATAATTCGCCACTCAATTATACGTTGGAGGATGCTATTGGGTCTTTTTATTTATTGTTTCTTTCCTGGACTTCTGTGTTTGTCTGTGGGCACCTGGTGCTAGAGAACCTATTTATATAAAAAATGCATTTAGTGATAGATTACATGATAGTTTGAGTGCATCTCTGCCAGTCTTCACCTCATGATACACAAACAATGAATATTCTGCAGCACAACTCAGTCTCTGAAGGGTCACAGTGTAAAATATTTATTTAGTAAAAATGCAATTTCTTGAGGGTATATTTCAGACAAATTCCCAGGACTGTTCTATGGTTATTGTTATGCACCAAAAATACCAAAGCAAATTGTATGTGACAACCTACTTGGCAATAAACTCGATTCTGATTCTGTTGTAGGAGGGGATGTACACTAACTAATGGGATCCTTTACCGCATGATAACATCTAGTCAGATCTTAAGGAATCAGGACAGACACTGCAGAGCATCCAAACTAAAATACATTTACTGATAACTAACTACAGACTACATTTGATTCCTTATTGTGAAAGGGAAAAATCTCTTTATTAATGACATTTTATCTACAACCTTGCAACCAAGAATGCATTTTTATTTATACATTATGAAGGTGTACTTGTGTTTTGTAAACTGTTAATCAACTACGAAGTCATAAACAACTAGTTATAAAGTTTTTGCAACAATGCCAGTTTTGAAGTACCAAAAATCCAAAATTGGATTAATTATTACATACAGTACAGTATCAATGTAATGTAATAGAAAATGCAGATTCTATTAGAAACTCATTGTTTCTACACTCCCAGGCTCCTCATGGACCAGAACTTCCACCACCACCACCTCTGTGTGGTCGGCCTGAATTTTACGTAACCAGCTACTGTCATTTGTTTTAGTCCACTGGTCAACTTGCTCCTCCAAAACATCTTCTGTCCAAACATTGATGAGCGATGCTGACTCCGGGAGTGGCAGGTAGTTTTGTGCCTTTAAATAAGTCTGGAGCTCTTTATCGTTTGGATTTTCTTCCGCTCTTGTTCCAGGTTGTTGTGAATTATCTGATGCCATGTCTGAGGGGGAATGGTCACTCTTTTGGCTTCGCTGCTGCAGGAACTGCAGGATCTCCCGGTCAAGCGCGGACCTAGTAATGCAGTCATGCAAAAAAACGTGGCAATTCTTTTCAATTTGTAATTCATAATATTTCATATTCATAATATATGTTGGACCAAGAATAGTCTATATGCTAAGTAGATGCTAGACAAATGTAATTACCTGAGCAGGTGAGATGCAGGTAGGGTTTCTCCACAGCCAGTGACTGTCTCTGTCTCTTCTGTCACCTGTGATTTTACAAAGTCCTGTAACAGAACCACACACTGTTCAAACAGCATCGGCTTTCCTGAAGACACCTTTTTTATTAAAATAATGTATTGTGTGTGAGACCAAGTACATATAAATGTGCATGTGCTAGATGCATGTGTCTGTGAGTTTTTTACTGGATAATTGACATTGACATGAGGTAAACTCGCCTGTGCGTCCATGTCGGAGGGCTCCTGTATTGGTGAGCTGACAGGACTGTCCTCCCTGTAGCGGTGGGCTTTGGGGGGCAGAGTGTGGTGCAGACTGTCTGAGAGGGCGTTGAGTCTGAACAGCAGTTCATCCACTAAGCTTTCAAACTCCTCTAAGTAATACGTCTAAAAAAAAAAGGGAAAGTTTAATGCTTCTGAATTTGTGGAAGCATAAACTCCACAAATACAGTTCGGTGGTGTGATATGTGAACATTTGATGAGGTAACTGGATTTATGGGAAATGGAGTCTTAACTTAAAGAAACATTGAGACAGTCTATCAATAATCCAAGGTACTTTGACTATGATTATATAGATATTTAGAATACTACAAAGCAACATTAATAGTCAACAAAGTGCATTTTTTAGTTTTGTAGCTCACTTAACATTTTGGTCTTTTTATGCACTGAGCAGTCTTTCCTCACCTTCCCTTCCCCGTGATTTTCAATCCTTGCTTCTCTATGCTGTCCAGAGATCATCTGATGTCTGATGTAGCTGACTAACTCTGCCAAGGTGAAGACATTCCCCCTGCTTTGTGATCTTTTAGCACTTCTGACCAATGAGGACACCACACCTATCGCCTGCAAGAACAAGAAAGACGGATGGTTGTTAGAACACAACAGTGAGCTAGCTCAGTGGTTCTCAATTGTTTTCACATCAAGGACCCCAAAATATACATAAAATAGACCACCTTTTGATAGGAGTTTTGCTTTCACATGTTTTATTACAGAAAGTTTATGAAACCAAAGACCAAAATAGTCATACACTGTGTTACATTTGGATGGAAATATAGTGAAAATAAATGGTTTCCCTTTTTGCTGGGGGACCCCGTAGAACACCTTCAAGGAGCCTTGGACCCCACTTTGAGAACCACTGATCCAGACAGATTGTTTCTTGCACTGATAATAAATTGTACAACGATGTAATGTGTGCATAAATCACTCTCTTATCCATTCAGTCACAACTTTTTCCAAATTAAAAAAACTTGAAATGAAATAGTTTATATGTACCAATACTGTCCACACCACAGTGGATGACAGGCAGAGAATTCCACCGTAAAGGAAATCCCGCCCAGGGAGGAGGAGGCCCCTAACAGCCCTGAGACCCCAGCAGTGGCAGAGCAGAGTCTGAAGGGAGCGGGAAAGTGAGCTGAAGGCCCCGGAGCTTTGCACGAAAAGGAGGTTCCCCATGCAGGACAGCGCCACCACCAGGATAAGACAGGTAAACTAGGACAGTAGAAGGAGACCATTTTTATCATTTGTCTGTTTGGTGAGCTTCCTCTTTGTTTCTTATTAAATATTTTAGAACAATAACTTCTTTACTGACATTTCAGTGAAAAATACCTATATACACACACACACACACACACACACACACACACACACACGTCTTACAAAGTTGCTTTTAAGACAAAAAATGCAAAACTAATATCAGTATTACATGTGTGGGCGGGACACTATCTCCAGGAGTGCAATATATCAAAAAGCTAATGACAGCCAAGCTATGACAACATGTACCATTAAGTTTTCAGAGCCAAAGGAACAACGTCACACTGTAGCACACATGACAAATAACAGCACAACTTCTGATGTTGTAATCATGCATATTTTGAAAAATATGACTTGCTTTTTCTAAAATGAGTATTAGTAGTGCTTGGGATGATGATGTTGCTGCCGCACAATGTGTTTACCGTTGGCCAGAAAAGGCTGGAGAGTGAGCGAGCGAGCAGTGTAGCAGAGGTGGCCATGGTCCTGTTTGCCTTCAACGCAGTCACACACTTCATGGTGAGGAGGAAGAGCGTGACGCTACGCAGAGTACGAATATCCTGCAGGCACAAAAGACGTCTTAATCCCTGTGAATCATTGTTGTCTTTAAAACCCACACCGTGATCTCTGAAGGACTTCCATTATGTATTTATTAAGGGTGTGTTTTACATAAACAGCAAACCTTGTACACAGTCTTCTTAAAAAGGAACAGGAAGTGACATGTTTTCTTAACATTAAGTATTTACGTTCCTGTCTCTCTAACCATCCGTTCCCTGCCTTCACTCGTCTCTTTCATTCTCTCACTTGTTCCCAGGTAGCCAGGAGGCTGACGTCGACATGTCCTTTGTAGTTGTGTCTCTGCAGCAGCTCCACAACCTCCAAGATCATACCGGAGTGATAGATGTAATAAACATAGTACACTAGGGTTACTGTCAGCAAACTGACCTGCAAAAGAGAGAGGGAGAGAGAGAAAGTGTCAGTAAAGCATAATCAGATACATTTCATTCTCTGCAGTTAAAACCATGCTGTGTGCTTTGACCTTTAAATCCATTTTCTTCACAGCTACTTTATGTTAGTTTAAGCGCTACAGGTTACCCTTTCAGCTAGGTCATTGTGATCTTATTTGCACTGGTAAGTCGCAGAGTGTGTGTGCGTGCCTGTGCATGTCTTTATGTGTCCACTGTGTGTTTAAGTTGTGGGCATGTCAGTTTTACTTTTTATCTGTTTTTAAATTAAAATGCTGGAATTCACATTTCTGTCGGTGTGTGTTTGCGCATACGTGGTAAACTCACTTCCAGCCAGTTGCCAGGTTTCCTCCAGTATCCCATCAGCCCTTGCTGCCCTACAGTGTACAGCTGATCACAGAGTTGCAGCAGAGACAGCAGAAGAAAAAGGAGCTGGAGGGGAGGAAGAAAAAACATGAGCAGCGTTAAGGCATGTTGTGATGAAAGTGCAGAGTTAGAGTGTCATTCAGTCCAATGTTGTGTTAGTTTATAAGGTCAAATGAATCATCAGTAGTTTGTGGCTTTACAATGGCGTTAAAGATTAGTTGTTTTTACAGTAGCATTATACCTGGCACACCATAACAACATAGTCCCACACAGCAGGAGTGTGGTACACCCTTACTGACTGGACTTTGGCAGAGGGCAGCAGGACACCGGTGGGGCTCTGCTCAGCGAGCAAAGTCACACTGGTGAACAAGTTGGGTGCAGGGCTGAACAAGGTGAAGTGGACCTTCACGGCCAACGTCTGTCTGCCCAGCCAGCCACCTGAATGCAGGAGCTTCAGTTTGGACGCTGCGTCAGACCTGAACGTGAGGAGACGACAACTGAAAGATGGTGGTGAAGATGCTACAGACATAAGAGTTACTACCGCAGGAAATCATTTTAGCTTTTGAAAAAACTCTAACAATTTCCACTGTGTATTTGTTTCTCACTTCGTGTGGCCTAAGCCAATGGTTGCACTGGATTGTGGATAAGTGGATGTTTGGCTCCCAGACAAGAATAAGCGTAGACATTCTGGTACGAGAGTCACACTAGAGAGCTGAGCAGGCAAACACAGTACACAGAAAGACAGAATACACACAGTCAGGACAAAATCAAAGGTAACACTTGTGGTAACTGTGACACGAAGGGTCAGATACTGATATGTATCACTGGTCTAACACAGTATACTGTATATTGCATGCTTGTGGCCTGGGCCCATCTTTGTGAAACAGCACTCTCTACAGGGGAAGTTAGTGTAATACACAGGAGTCACTTGAAGTCTTGTTATAAAGCACAACATACATAAAATATTACTTTTTTGTTTTCTCTTCAAGTGCAATGTATTGACAATCCAACTTTTCACATAATTATATTTTCAGTAATTGTATGTATTATGATGGCTCATGTTTTAAAGGCATGTCTCTTTTTTTACTTACCTGGCCTTGTAATGAGCTCGACACCTCCGTCTGCCACAGTATTGGCTTTCCAATTAAAATGCGCGACTGTTGGACAACATCAAACTATTGAGTTTTTCTTTCATAGGGACATTTCAAGGTAAACTGTAATTATATTTTCTTTGACATTGGATGGATGAATCCTTTTGGTGAATCACCACAGAGCTTTTGGAGCCTACCTCAGTAGTGGCTGATACATTCTTGTACAGTAGATTAGGGAGAATGGTCTGTGCCCACTTCCACCAGTCCTCCTGCTTTTGTATGGACATAAATGCATTATCGTGGCCCCTGTTGAAACATAAAATATGAGTTTGGAGTGTGTGTTTATCAGAGAACAAAAAGGTACTCAGAGAAAGACAGCATGTGTGTGCAAACGTTACCATATAAACTGTTTCCTGACAGCTTTATTGAGGCGGTAATGGTCAGTGAATGAGCTGCCATAATTTATACACAGCATCAGGAAAAGCATGGAGCCACAGACAGACAAATCCCTGAGTGACAAGAGAAAGAGACAACACCTTATACAGCTTTAAATCACATACAAACTGGTGTACACACACACACACACACACACACACACACACACAAAGACATACCTGAGCGTGTGGCGGAGAAGCGCCTGTCTCCTTTCCTTCCCACGAGTTTTCCTCAGCTCTGATGGAGCCGGTGGGCGCACAAGACGGAGGTACCGGGCTCGCTGACGAGCACCAAGCAGCTTTCAATCAGAGATACCGTTTTAATAGATGTGAATTGATGAGAACAGAATAAATTAGGAATAAGCCTGTCACCTTTTCAATGTATGAGCATCTCTGAGCAGGAAAGGCAGATGTCCCAGACTTCTCTTCTTGTTGGTTATCACAATTGTGGCTTAGCAGATGTGAAGTCTCTATTTCAAACTCTCTTATACTGGAGAAACTATGAAAGTCTGCTCTTTTCCTGTACCAGAAGGACACAGCCACTGCCACTGTAAAGATCTGGAAAAGGGGGTGCATGTTACAATATATACAGTGGAAACTTCAAATCCATTTAAATGTTTACTTATTTGAAATATAGTTTACAAAAATTTGTTTACCACAGCTGGTTGGATGAAGAAGATGCAAGACATCAGGGAGAAGAAAAGCGAGTGTATCCATAGCAGAACCTTGCTGCTGCTGAACCTGACACATAAAAACACACACATGCAAACAGTTTGGGCTCTGAGACATACATTTATGTAACACAGAAAGTCAGTATTAATAATAAATCAATTTGGCATAATCCACAACACTGGCTTCACACTTATCATTCATTTAGCGCCATAACACATTTACTACCTCATTCCCAGCACTGCAGAGAGCACCAGGCATGAGAGGGACGACAACAGACAGAGCGTCCAGGCCAAACAGTGACACCACTGAGATACTGGTCCTCTCCCTTTCAGCCCACTGACGATGTGGTAACAACTGCTGTGACCAGACCACGCTGCCTGGTGATGGCTGCCTTCCTTCCTTTTCCTTCGAGGATCATTCTCCTTCTGAATAGCATGACCTCCATCCCTCGCACCGGACAAAAGAGCGCTCTGGGTTCCATGAAAGCCGCTGCTTTCACTTAAAAGATAACACTCTTTTCCCTGAGGCGCTGATTCAACATTGTTCCCCTCAGTAATCGGCAACAAATTTTGACGCGCTGGTCCCGTATTGTTCTCAAGCACTAGAGCGTCCTCCTTTCTTATGACCATATCTGTTTGGATTCCAGGTTCTTTATCTGTGTTTTTATTTGCCAGATTTGCAGCGGACGCTGGCGGCAGATCTGTACCCTACGACACAAGAAGACGGGTCAGACAGGGATGAAAGATATTGTGAGAACAAAGATATGAAAAACGTTGATGCCGGAGGTGTAACCTGGTATTTCTTTCTCCAGGCTTCCTGCACCCAATGCTGAAGACCGCTCCAAGAGAGATGGGGCTCAAATATACCGTCAGATACTGAAAGAGCATCTGTGAGGAGACAAAACAGATCTTTAACGAGGGGAAATATAAAGGGAGGTGAGCAGACAAGAAAAGCTAAGCAAAAAGAATAAAAATCAGAATGATGGACCAAGCAGATTCATTATATATAAAACAGAATCAAATGGCCAGCTGGTCATTTATGTCATACTGTCGGTGTTGAACCTAATCTCACTCTATTTAAATACAAACGGCACCTTCAACAAAGTATTTTTCAGTCTTTCTGCCCTTTGCGTGTTGGACTCCTGACCCTGTCCGCTTGACCTTACGCAGTCGGAACAGGAAGGATATTATTGCCGCTGCAGGCAACACTGCCACCACACTTAATACTCCGGTCGTCACAGAAACAGGTGACACATCAATAAAGCCCAACTCGAAAGGCAACTGTGAACAAGAGATCGGGAACAACAGCGTTATGGATAACATGTTTTGGTACACTCATGCACTAATTCTCAAACTCTGAAGGTTTTCTTAACATACCTGATCGTCCATTTGTGATATGATTACTGTGTTGACACATGCGTACCCCAACAGCAGCAGCAGACTCATGCTAAGCCTTTGAGTGCGTGTGAACGAGTTAGGGCAGGGACAGCTGTGCACAGATATCCAGATGTGGTGGTCGGCCAAGTAGTCAAATAGCTTGAGATGTAACATCTGCCAACAACAAGGGTCACATGGAGGAGAGATTGTGTGTGTGTGTGTGTGTGTGTGTGTGTGTGTGTGAGCACTATACCTTAGCAAAGCCCATTCCCTGAGTGCAAACTCGCAGCATTCTCTCCACCCGGCCATCGCCTTTGTTCATGGCCAACCAGCACTGAGCGACAAAGAGCCAAGCGCGTCCCTTCACATGCCCTCTGTTCACCTGTACAAACAGCAGACAAACAAACCATCTTCACGGTCAAATTGAAAACACAGACGTAACAACGCTTTCACAAAGACTAAGCAGATGGACCTCACCTCAGATACCTCCACCTGTTTGAGGTACAAGTTCGGGGAGGGTCCAGAGTTGTCATGCCAGATGTGAACCCCCCATACTGGACCCAGGCTGTCTGCTGCACTGTAGCATCAGACACACATTGAAATAAGAGTTTATCAATGAGCAAACCAAACTTGCTAATTTGTTAAACTGCAAGTATTATTTTGCGCTGTAGTAAGATGCACAGCATACTGTGTATTAATTTTACATGGGGAAAAAAATGTATCTATTGATAGCTGTATGTGGAGATATTTGGATTTTACCTGAATATAAAGGTGTCTTGAGAGTTTCTCCTGAACAGGGTGCATCTTGGGACTTTAAGTTCTCTTGTCTGCGAAACCCCATCTTCACCATTCAGCACAACATAAACCTTGTCAACATACAGAGACAGTTTCTCAGAAACTCTGGAACTAGAAAACCCTGAAGATAGTTTAGTTAAATCCAAGTCCTGTTTTTAAAGAACATAATTGAAACTGAAAGTTGTTGTTCACTTTAATGTGTTCAAGGATATTTGAGTTATTTTTAAAGTTGTTATCATGACATCTGTTTAATTCTCACACAGCAGTTGGCCTGTTTTATGTGTATATAAAGACAGGAACTGATTGAGACCTGTCAGACTGCATCTTGCTGTCTGAACAGGTGATATTTCAGAATGAGAAGTGCTGCGGTTTTTCTGGCGTCGCTGCTCTGTCTGCACTGGACGTGGGTTCAGGGTGAGAGTGGAGGGGTGACAGGGATCGGTATCAGTCAGACAGAGGGGGAAATCAGTAAGAAAGAGGCTCAGTTTGAGATTCACGGCATCAAAGCAACTAATGATCCGAGCAGCAGCCAGACCAACATCACCCCTGATATCTTGGCCGAGCTGAGGGAGCTGAGAGACATGGCCATTGAACACAGGAGCAAGATAGAGAAGCTGGAGCAAACGGATACTGGTGACACACTTTATAAAACATAGTGATAATCAGTCACATACTGTAGTGTTGCACAGATTCATGCAAGGTTCATTAATGGCACTAATTACTTGCTTTGCTTTAAACCCAGCCACACAGGCCAGACTGACAGCCAGTGAAAGCAAGAATGCAGGTAAATATTTAAATATTTATTTATCTGTTTACTTTTATATATAAATGTGAAATTAATTCACTTTCATTTATGATTTGTGTTTTGTTATTTTGTAAATATCCAGAGTAAAATGTAACTACATATTTAAGGTGTACTGTGTATATCTACCAAGATTAAGATCTTAGATTCATAACAAACCTTTTGATCAGAAACCTACTTTATAATAAAACATTTTTTAAATGTGTTCACAGTTTTAGAGGCCAGAATGAGCTCCAATGAAAATGTGGTCAAGGAGCTCCAGAGAAAGAACATAGGTGAGCAAAAAAATCTGAATGTCATGTGTGTTGGGCATAATACTGTATGTTAGCAATGAGAATATACTTAAGACTAAATTAAAAGGGTGAGTTTGGAGTTGACGTTTTGGTGGAAAACTTGTTTGTGCAGTACTGGGGGCCAGAATGAGCGACAGCGAGAACAAGGTGAAGGAACTCAAGAGAGACTACGCAGGTCAGCTATATCTAAAAATGGCTTAATATGTCAATTATAAAAAAAAAACATTTTAGTGAGGCAATCATCAAAGTGAAGTTCTCCTTTTGGTAAAAAAAAATGTTAAATGTGTTTGCAGTTTTAGAGGCCAGAATAAACACCAGTGAAAATGCAGTCGTGGACCTCAAAAGAGATAACATTGGTAAGCTACAAAAACATAATTACAAAGTAAAGTAGTGTGGTAGCAAACACATTGTGTAAGATCCTTTCAGATGGGATGTGTAAAAGTGACGGGTGAGGAGTCAAAAAATTTAGCAGAAACATTTACATTTGAATGAGGATTTACATGTGATGATGAACTAACCTACCTATCCTTTCCCCCTTTATTATAGATCTTCTGGCTAGAGCGACAGCAAGCGAAAATAAGAACAGGGGTAGGATTAATAAGATTACAAAGTAATCAGAGAAAACCGTGAAAACCGATGATCATAATTCTATTTTATGAGAAAAAATTTTAATGGGTTCACAGTTTTAGAGTCCAGAATGAGCTCTAGTGAAAAGGAGGTGAATGAGCTCAAGAGAGAGAATGCAGGTAATCTACATAAACATCATTACAAAGTAAATATTGTATATTATTTTAGAAAACTTTGTTTTTGTTTCAAACTCTCAACATGTTTAACAAATTGATGAATTATTAAATTACTTATTAAATTTTTCCCTTTTCGCAGATCTTTTGGCTAGAGCAACAGCAAGTGAAACTAAGAACACGGGTAGGATTACAAAGATTACAAAATAATCAATGGAAAATGTGAAAACTGAGGATAATGCTATTATAAGATAAATGTTAAATGTGATTGCAGCTTTAGAGGCCAGAATGAGCTCCAGTGAAAATGAGGTGGATGAGCTCAAGAGAGAGAATGCAGGTAATCTACATAAACCATAACTATAAAGTCAAAATGTCATAATGTGTCAGCAGTGAGAATGAAACTGGTAAATTAAGGAGCATATTCAGTGCAGCAGGATGCAGACTGACATTATTTATGACTACTGCTTTTAAATTAGTCAGAAAGTATGTTATTCTATTGGAGTTAAAAGCCTGCTGACAATCAGCATCCACATTTCTGCTGTGGGGCTGCCTATCATTATGTCAATGAGGAAAATATTTTTTAAAGACATGATATACAGCACTCATAAATTTTTTTCGTAGACTGTACATATGACAAGTTTTGTCTATGCGCATCTTCCACATTCACACAGACCGTCCAAAGGTGGCGTTCTCGGTTGGTCTTACTGACGCAGGACAAGTCGGACCCTTCAACACTGACATCACACTTAAGTTCAGTAAAGTCTTTACCAATATCGGCCAGGCCTACAGCCCAACTACAGGTACTCACCTTTGTTTTGCTACAATAACAGCAGTTTACAGTATTAATCTGGGAAGGAAATAATACCAAACCAAGAGCTCCTGCAGATTACTTATATAAACCCACCCCTAAGGCTTGCTAAAGCATCAAGAAACAACCGCCCATTAAACAGAGGGGAGAAGCCACTGAACAGTGAGAAAAATACAATTTTGACCCCTCACTGATTTTCTCCTATGTTGCAGGTATCTTCACAGCCCCAGTCAGAGGAGCCTACTACTTCAGATTCACCATGTGGGACAACCGCAAGTCATCTTGGATGGGTGCTAATCTCTATCACAATGACAAGAGAATGATGTGGAGCTCAGATTACAGTGATAGCATCGGCTATGTCGCTGTGTCTAATGCATTAGTTCTTCAACTGGAAAAGGGGGATGTGATCTACATGGTTCTCAACTCATCCTACGGTGTTTCGGATGAAAACAATAATCGTACCACCTTTGATGGTTTTCTACTTTTTCCGCTGTGAGTGCAGCCGTGAAGTACCCGCAGTTCATTTTAAAATATAAGCACATATAAAATAAATTTCAAATTTGTGTGTCTGTGTGTATTTTATTGTCTGGTTAGATGAACACATAAAATATCAAAAGAACATCTGTACATTTTATAAACACGTTCATTTTTAAAAACAAAATGGCCAGGGTCAATCTACTAAACACAAAATTATACTGTAGAACTGTCTCTATGTATTTGGACAGTGAACATTTTGTGCTGGCTCTGTTCTGCAACACATTAGATGTGAAATATAATAATGAGAATTTGGTTCAAGTGCGAACTCTCAGCTTTAATTTGAGGATATCTAAATCCACATCAGGAGAACCCTGTCCCAATTTAGCCATTTATAACCTAAGTCTGGGAGTCAAAACCATGCACACTTAAAATTAAATTCCATTTATCAACAATTTAGTCGTTATGATTGTTTGACATTAATGTTGGTCTTTTGAAATTATTCATTATATATTAATTAAAAAGAACCACAATTCAATTCAATATTACAATTATTTTTAAAGTTGTTATCATGACATCTGTTTAATTCTCACACAGCAGTTGGCCTGTTTTATGTGTATATAAAGACAGGAACTGATCGAGACCTGTCAGACTGCATCTTGCTGTGATATTGGTTATGTCGTGCGTAATGCATTTGTTCTTCAACTGGAAAAAAGCGATGTGGTCTCCATGGTTCTCAGATCCCTCTTTGGTATTTGGGATGATTCCTATAATCGTACCACTTTGTTGATTTCTACTTTTTACTCTGTGAAGTCAGCTGTTTAACACCCACAGTCAGCTGCATTAAGTTTCAACATCACTCTTTTGAATATGAGGGAAAATTAAATCCAAATATCTCTGTATGTGTGTTTTTTGGGGGGTTCGGCCTACATGAACGAGACAAAGGAATTAGAATAAGAAAGTCCTTTAGCGACAATATCAAACAAACTCCATACAGTTTGAAATTACATTCTAGTGTTAATAAATATGAAGAGGATGACATATTTACTCGTATAGTACCACAACGATATTCTATGAATCCATCTATGCACCAAACCCCATCAGACATTACAACATTCATGATGGGACTCAAACACTTAACTCAGTGGTCACTGCATGGATATCCTGCCATCAAAGTACTGTGAAAGGTAACAATATCCAAATGACAAGCCTTATGGTCATGATTGATCCTAATCAGTTATTTAAGGACCACATGTCAGTTTCAGTATCATTCATCAAAATGTGACTGGTTTGAACAAATATAAACTGTACCTTTGCACTCATGCAGGCTGCAGAGCAGAGACCAGTGTGGATTGTGACTGCATAAAGATATGGGTCACATGGGGAGTTGTCAGAAAGGTAGTGTACTCTCCGATTCGCCTTGTAGACAACGTCAGCTCTCTTACACACCGCCAACCCAACGAAGTACAGGCACACACACAGCACCAGCACAGCCAACACTGTCAGATCACTGGGCACACTGAGGAGACAGAGGGGGAGAGAGGAGAGGCACTGTAGGATGTTATACTTTTCATTCATTGACATAAATGTCTCAAAAGTACAGACAACACTGACCAGAATGGCAGGGCATTCAGTGAGGCACTTTTCCCTATTGTTTACTTTTTGATCACCAAATGCTTTTTACTTTTTACTATGCTCTTCATGTTGTACTTGTGAAGAAAAGGTCCAAATCGCTTCTACAATTTAAGTAACAGAGAGATTTTCTTCCAGGCCTAAGGAGGATGAGGTCACCTTAGGAACGGGTCCAGGTTGGTTGTGTCATGGCTGCTCTGGATCTGCTGCTGCACTACAGTCAGCGGCCTCAACTGGTGACAACTGAGACAAAACACCAACGAGCAAGAAGAGATTCATTTATGTGAATCGTCACAATGTTCGGGTTTTTCCTGTAGTCCATTCCTTACCTGCAATTGACTGTAGTAGTCGAGTCTGCTTGCCGTGTCCTGCAGGCATGGTCAGTCCAGGCCCCTGGGTGGTCGTCCCAGGACAAACACAGGCTGCTGTCCACTGAGAGACTGTAACTGACCTGCTCACTCAGGTGCTTGTGTCTAGTTGCTTTCCCAAAATCAGCATTCAGCAGGGCAAGATGACCAACCCCTGCAGCTAGAAAGTTTTATTGTTTTGTTAATACAGTTTTTATAACAACTACAGAAAGTACATGAGACATTTCAAAACAAATAAATATTCTGAGACACGTTCTCATATGGTAAATAACACTCTTATCTGTGATATTATCACAACTGGTTTTCTTTTTTTTCTTTTGGAATATCACTGATTAGTAATATTGGTGAGTTGTTAACTGAGAAGAGCTGTATTGTTGCTTTAATGCTACACGCTGTATATTTGTCACTATAAAAATAAACAAACATTCTTAAAGTTCAAGTATTTGATGATTTTGGAGTTTTTATTAAAAAACAAAAAGCATGTTTGTGGATGATGAATTTCATAGACTCTCAAACAGTTGTTATTCTAACAGATGGAAAGAGCAGGAGGGAAGGGAAAAGTAACCAAAAGAATATTACATCTGTAATCTGCATCACTTATTTTTTACTGACTACACACAAATATGATCAGAACAACAAAACACCGTGCTGAGTAATTGCTTCCGTTACACATTCTGTCTAATTACTGTGTTCAGAAAAGGCGAGGACACAATTCGATGGATGATTAGTTTGATTGATGTTTTACAGAATGAGCAGTTAAAGTAACAGATGGAAAGACCAGGAGAGAGGCACAGAGCTGAACCAAGGCATGTCTTACCACTGAGGTAGGGTGGGGGCAGAGTGAAGCGAGTGGTATTGCTCTCCCAGCGATGAATCCTGCGCAGATGGTGCATGCTGGGAGTCGGCCTCACAAACATCCTGCCGCAACAGAAACTCTTGGTTTGGTTTTGTGTCACATTCATGCCATCTACTGAAAAACCCCATTAAATGACTACATTGTGTTGTTATGCTGCTCTAACTATCAGATGATAATTGCCAAGAAACAACAAACCAAGTTCCTGCAATCTACCTGAAGAGCAGCATGATGGGAAACGCCTTGTTGAGCGGTGGTGTGAATGATATACTCAGCTGGATGGCCTGCTGCAAGTGCTCCTGGGTAATGTTGAAGCTGTGGTAGTTGACCTGGCTGCGCAGGAGGACGTACTCATGCACAGAGCTCTTCTGCTGAATGTTGTTGGAGTTAGTTGCTCAAGCTCAATTAGCACATTAATACTTTCATTGAACAATGTGCTCTACTGTAGTGGTATAGTGCAAATGAAGTCAACTTGTTGCAAAACAACAGAAAAGAAGAAATAGCGACATACGTTTCTTGGTGGTTGTTGCAGCTCGATGTTTATTGGATGAACGAGGGAAGGAACAGGGATCTTTCTCCTCGTGCTGCACTTGTACAGACTCAGGTGAACCACTGGTCCACTCAGCTGGAAATCAGCAATGGGGAAAATGAGAGCAATGCCTTTTGCTGTTTAATCACCAAGTGTCATCGCATCATGCCAGTCTCACCCTTCCAGGATAGTGGGCCCAGGTGTAAGGGCTGTGGGTAAGCTCAGTTAGCATGCAGAGCACACATGGTTGATGACGTCTACGCCCAGTCTCTCTACTGCGACGGCCAAACAGAAGCTGGATCAGGGAGGCTGGCATGTAGAAGGCGGTCGAGCCACTGCTGACGACCCCGGAGGTTTGGTTTTGGTATGTGGCATATAAGGAGATAAGATCGGTGCTGACTCTGTGCTCATGGGTCCTGTGGAACAAGAGGTATTTCTGAAAAAGAAGAGAATTGCCAGTAGAGACATATGTGGAGGTAAGTTGATGAGCAGATTTTCACAAGGAAGTGTTTCTCGTGGTTCTCTCTCACCAGCATCAGGTCTGAAGCAGTCTGCAGAATATCAGCTACAAGCTGCACCGTCTGCTTTGTTGAAATCGATCGGCCTCTTTGGATGTAAACACCACTGGATGAGTCTGGTATGCAGCCACTAGAAGGTGCTATGGCATTTCTGAAGTTTCCATCATGCGAGTCTGATCCTAATGCCTGTGTAATGTCAGCACTGTTGGACATTTCTGGTGTGAAGCCATTATTAGTGACAGCAGCTTGCAGGCTGTGAGAGAGCAGGGTGACCAGAGTGGTGAGCGTCTCCTGGTCCAGATCGTTCCAGTCTGCACTGCTGGGCTTGGAAAGCTGCTCTGAGATGACCTGAACGTGAACTATCACTCGTCTTGCACTCGCTAATGTCACCTAAACACGATATAGCAAGAATGAGAAACGTTTTTCATCTATCAGCATCTATCAGTGTCTCTTTTTCAGTGGAAGTGCATGAAAGGAGACAACTATCCACCTACCTGACTTGTAACTTGTAAAAGGTTTCTGAGGATGAAGATGTTGTCCAACATTGATGCCTATGATTCAATGACATGCAATTAAAATGCTATAAAAGGTGGGAAAAGTTTTCTTGCATTCCAACTGTGAAACTTAAGAAACAGGAATAGAGAGTGAGAGACACTCAAAGAGAACATTTGTTGAAATCAAAAGCGTAGCTCAGGTAATCTTGAGGTTTACCACAGGTGTGTGTGTGTGTGTGTGTGTGTGTGTGTGTGTGTGTGCGCGCGCGCGGATACCTGTTCACTGCTCCCTAGCTTACACACTGTGCAAATGAGCACATTGCGTGTGCGTCTCTGTGCGTGTGTGTTGGCATCTGCGTCCAGGCTGAGTCTGTTCAGGATGCTGGAGAGGAGACTGATGTAGTTACGGATCTCCACACTGTTCCCAAGTCGCACGAGAGCTGACAGGTTCCTCAGACCTGACTCTGAACTGGACAGAAAGAAATACTAATAACATAACAATATACTGCATAACTAGTAAGACAGTAACGTATTAAACTGTACAGCTCCAGACATGGTGGCAATACAAAAGCTGACTTAATTAAGGGCGTACTAAGCAATAAAAACTCGAAGGTGGTACTAAGTTATAAAAATACAATAAATTCATAAGATTTTAAGTAGTTTCAGAGTTACTATGATGTGCATTTTCATGATCAAAAACAAAAAAATAATGTAATAAACAGAATACACTTCTTACAAAGCCCTGCAACATAAACATAATCCTGATGGGGTTTGATGACATGGTGATTGGTTATTCTTACAGCTCCAGATCAGGATCAAGATGAGAAGAAGAAGAAGAAGAAGTGGTGTCTCTGAGGAAGCTTGGCTGGACCTGAACCGTGACAGGACAGGGTTTGGTGGCCGTCCCATATGTGCTGCTTCTAATCTCTGTATAAATAGTTACTACAGGAACAAAAATCAATCACAATTAATGAAAAGGAAATTTCTGCAATAGGTGTGTGTGTGTGTGTGTGTGTGTGTGTGTGTGTGTGTGTTTACCTTTATAGTCATCACTGGGGTCACCAGAAGGAAGGCTGAAGTAGTACTGGAAATCTCTCCCCTGATACAGCATCCTGGGAGGTCTGTCTCCTACGCTCATGCTGTACTCATACAGTAAGTCCTTCAGCACACCCACACACAAACATGCGAGGGTAAATATGCAGCCAACAGTGGGAAGAAATCAATGCCGGAGAAAAAAACTGGATACATTTGTAAATGTGTCGTGGTGCTTGTCTCTGGGATGTGAGAGGAACCCACTCACTCACACAGAAATCACAGTCCCTGCACATTTTAGGGTAATTTTTTAGGGTATTTTATTACTGAGCTAGGTAACCTTTCAAGCTCCCTTTAATGATGTAGAGTATTCTTTAAGATTAAAAATCAATAAAGAATACAAAGGTAAACACCCTCCCGCTCTTTTAAACTTTTTTCCAGTACTTAAAATGTACTTAAAAAAGGGCTCACATATAAAGGATCCTAAAAAACATCCATCTGGTACATTGTGAGTCAAATGAGTCATAGAATTTTAAGAGCTTTGTGTGTGTGTGTGTGTGTGTGTGTGTGTGTGTGTGTGTGTGTGTGTGTTTACAGTATGAGACAGGAGATACCTCTTTCCCTGAGGTGCAGAAGATGCTGAAGTGTGTGTATAACTCCATTCCTTCGATTGGTTGCACCTGGCACGTCATACCTTTTGGGGCAGGGTTGGTTTTTAAGAATAGCTGAGTCCGGCCCAGGAAACTATCACGAGATTCTGAGTGCAACAGGTAACAAGTCAGACTAGCATCCAGATCCCTTCAAATGTCATTAGAAAAATAAATGATGGGCTAACACAGGACTGATGTTGTCATTATTATTATTTTAATGTAGACACCAATGTGGTAGTCCTCAATCCAGAAAACCACATTACATCTATTCTGCATCACTCTCACAGGACAATTAGAAGAATCAGAACAGTGTTATTACATATGTAAAAGCACTGTAGCAAATGTGAGGAAATTCAAGAAATTTGGACTTCTGCGATGACTGCATCCTCCTGGCTGTCAATTAACATTTAGCCTCAACTATAAATTCTTAGTTGCTAAATAATCTTAGCTGCTTATATGTTCAGGAAGAGCTCTCTGGCCCATCTCTAAGGAATGGTGACGACAATGAGGACTGCATTTTGTTCCTGGTTTAAACCCTTCCTGGCTCACCTGGTTTATGACTTTAGGGCTTATATACCTATCTGTGCCAAATCTGTATTTCAATTTCACGTTAATGTACATTTATCATTCCATCATCATTCTGTCATAGTTCAGTGCAGACAACACATTACATTTTGGCAAAAATGTCAGTTATTGTTGTGAAACTTACTGGCAGTAACTTCCAACATGTATCTGCTCCCAGGCCTCAGACTGAAAGGTCTGAAACTGAGTAAAGGGGAGGAAATTCCTGGAAAGATGGAAAGAGAGAGAAATATGACTAAAGGCTGAGTTCAGTGGATAAAGAGAGGTAATGTGCGTCGGTGAGTTTCCTGAATAACGGACCAGTGTAAGTGTAGGACTCAAAAAGGCCTCTGTCTACCGGGTCCCGAGTTAAATCGAGCAAGATCGGCTCCTGGATCATGACAGATGGCCTGGAATCCACCAGATTACTCCCCTCATCTTCGTGCAATGCTGGATGAAACGCTGAATCATCTCCTGGACTTAAGCTCTCACCATCCACATCTGGGGATATGCATGGGTAAACACACAACCTGCCACACTTGAGATTATTAGCAAACCCAGACATGTACTGTACCTGTGGGTCTTCCTGCTGAGATCCCTGGGTCTCCTTCCTCTGCGCTCATCAAGGGAACATCATAAACTGAATCTGTAATATATTCAGCTGTAATGCACAATTTAGTTACACACTGCAAATCTGCACAAACCGTGTACATTTAAATAAAAGAAAGTTATTCTTTATTCACTTTTTACCAATTGGCCACTTTGACTCTTTAGATTTAGTGATAAAACACAGACAATGATGACTGACTGCAGTTTCTCTCAGCTCTACTGAACCTTTTAGCAGTTTTAGCTAGTTTTAGTTTTATACCTTAAAACTTTAATGTTTTGGTTCAGTCTTTACTAGCATCCTTTCTAGACATAATAGGCAGCTATTTTCAGTGAAAAGGCTCTGCTTAACCTATGTTGCCTTATTCTCATAGCACCAAAGTGCTGTCAGACAAAGTTAGCAGCTAGCTGGTGAACATAGGGGAGCATTTAGCTGTTAAAAATCCAGATATTAGCCTCAGGAGTTGGTTGATACCAAACACAAAGCTAAAAGGGTGAATATTGGGCTTATATTTATCAGTTAACAGAAACAAGACTCAACAAATGAAAGCTAATGTTGCTCCCTATCTGCTTTGCTAACAAGTTCACTATATCAACTGCTAACAATCTAAAGACCAAACACATCCATGACACACTGATTGTACATGCTGGTGTTTCTATTGTGCCTGATTAGAATTAAATGTGTGGGCATGTACAGACTGTGCTTGACTGACAGCTCCCTCACATACTGTTAGCTTTACTGCACCTGTTAGGGCGGGACAGTTTCCAGCTTTATCATCCTTATTGGCGCACGCAGTTTGTTTACCTCACATAATTCCCAGCATAGCACCGCTTAGCTTCGACCTGAGCAGATGCCAGAATCACGGAAAACACTATTCAAAACCATTCACAGTCCAACTGTTTGATTTTGCATGACTGCCAGACCAGAGCAATTTCACAGCTTCACAAATCTCAGCTCAGTTTTGTCTCACCTGGTCTTCCTCCGTAGTCATCGCTCTCCAGCACAGGAAAGGAAAAGTCCCAGTCAGCAGAGGAGTCAGAATCAATTGGCAATTCACTGATAACGTCACTCTTGCCAAAGTGGTCTGAATACAGGACGCCACTGTTGTCAAGGGCAAGAGTCTGGTATTCAGTGTAGGAGTACAAAGGCTCTGGAGGGTCAAACTCCCCCAGAGTGAGATAAAAAGGCTCCTCTCCTGGACATAAAGAGGATAAGCTGTTAAATAATTCATAAACTACCCATTTTACTGTAACTATGACCTTGCACATCATTACTCTTGTTGATTTTCCCTATTGATGTGCATGCTTTTAAGATAAACATTGTGAGCATTGAAAAACGTTACCTATTCACATTTTGATTCACAGTATTTGATTCCTGTTTACCTACAGAATTAAACAATATCCATTAAAAAAGCTAGTAGCAACATGGCAGTGTACACAGCTGCCCTGGCCTACCTGATCCTGCTGTTCTTGTGTTGACAAGAGAAGAGAAAGCCGACAGCTCAGGTTCTGTCAAACCTGAGTGAGGAGGAAAATAGAGATGTCAAGGTTAGAGACATGGTGTTATTTTCTATTTCAGTATGCAGATTTATGTCGCAGTCTGTTTTTGCAGAGGCAACCACTTGGGATGCTTTTTTTATCTCACCAGTCGCATTTAATTACACACCAGAGACAGCTGACTTCTTTCTGTTATTCTTCGATAATGTTCCGCTGTCAGTCACATTCAGATTTAGCTTTTTGGCTGTAGTTTCAGAGGCATTCTTAATAAGAGAGTTATTGACAGGATGGGTGTGCTGTGAAGCATCTGTAGCAGGTGGATGCAGGGAAGTGGCAGGACCTTCCACGATGGTAGACGGAGCACCAAGATGCACTGTGTAACAAAACGGGACTAGAATAGAAGAGAAAAGAATTGAGCTCATCATTTTTCTTACAAATGAACTAAATAGCAAATATGGAAAATTTACTGCATACATCTGTGCATCCATGTTTTTTGTACCTTCTATGACAGGCTTGGAGGACACATTGACCAAGTACAGGCTCCAGGTGTACTGGGTGTATTTTGGGGAAATATCACAGCCTTCACACAAGGCGCTGACAGAGAAAGACTGATCCCAGTTCACCTGGTCTCCCTGGCACTGAGGGCAGTAAACTGACACCATCCTGGATTGGAAACATTCAGATACATGGTAAGAATTACAAGGTAGGTACAGTACACTTATTAATGGTGACAAATATTTCTAAACATCTATCCACTATAAAGCATCCAAATTTCATGTCCTTAGATGTAAATGTGATTTGCAGTCAGACTTTGCTTCAAAAAAGAAAAGCAATATAGCAGTTCAAAGGTTTAATCTGCTTGTTAATGCACATGTTCAGATACAGTGACGGGGAAATAGTGATATTTTTATAACTCTCACCTGATCACATTTGATGTTAATGTGCGGAAGGTCTCTGATGAAGCTGACCGCTCACCGCTGTGGATGGTGAGCGTGAACCGGAACTGGTCAAAGTTGCGTTTTAGGAAACTAGCAGGAAATACGAGCACAGGGGATGACGTTGGAATGTCATGGTGGAAACAGGATGTGGTGATTGAGCTCACTGGTTTACATGTCCAACTGAAGCTGTGAAGAGGAAATTGAATGCACATTGGAGTCAGACGTTAAAGATGCATACAACTTATAACCATTAAAGGTTTGGTGCATGCATAAAATTATTTGTGTACCTGACTGGGTTCATGGGGAAGTCAGGGTCGTAAGATCTCTGCCCATCCAGGGTTACCACTGTGGTGTTCCTGTTCTTAATGAAGATGTTCGTGCCACCCTGGATCAAGGCCACAGGAGGGCTTGGTATCACCTGCACTCTCACGCTGTAGTTACTGTACACCACACTGCCGACGACCTGAACCTGCAGAGCACTGACAGTTACTCAATACTCCTAGTTTAAGGGCCAAAGCGTGACACTTTTTGTCCGCTACTTACCCTGGCTATGGCAGTGTAGGTATCATAGTGCAGGAGATGGCTTGGCAGAACGAGGTTCTGCCTGTGTGTGTCTATGAGAGGCAAAGGGAAGACCTGTCCTGCAGAGTCAAACAAGGTCCAGGTGTAGTCAAGGCCTCCTGAAACGTCGCAGTCAACTTCAGTCTCATACGTCACCGCCAGATGGATAACCTCATTTCTTCTCACCTTGAAGAGAGGAGAGGGTAATAGAGAAGAAAAAGCAGAAATGTAATTATCTTTTTAGCTAGACTTTACCATAGTACATTCACATTATGGTCAAGTAACTGCCCAGCTGGTGAAATGTACCTGTAGCCTTAGAGGACCCATGTTTTTGACTGGTGGAGGCTGACAAGGCCGGTCCACAACAAAGATGTGACTAGATAGAGAGGCAGAGCTAACCAGGTTGGACGCGGTTACTTGCACTCTGAATTCTCCTGTCCTGCATAGAGTGAAAACACACACACACACACACACACACACACACACTAAGTGTACACAGGCAAAAATACACATTACATTTAAACAGTTTGGTAATTTAAAGATTTACAGGTACGTGAGGAACAATGAAAATAAGGTTCATTACATGAATATTTAGGAGAAGAAATTTAAGGTCATGTAAAAATGTGGAAGAAACCTTTCTTTTAAACTTAAGTATAAAGCTGGTAAATGGAAACTATAGCTCGATTGATAATGGATTTTTGTGGCAGATACCAATACTATATATATATATATATATAAACACATAACAGAAAGAGAAGGATGCTTCAAATTTGGTTTATTAAATAATTGTGACCAAGATACAGTATGGACTGAGAGGAAACTTTTTCAGTAATAATAAATATATGGTAATAGAAAGACTTTTTAAAAATGATTTCTAATATACGTTTTCTGTATTGGATTTTTTTTACATATATAATGACCAACATATACACCGACAGATCTGCAATTTGTCTAGCTCTATTAGAAACATCCAAATTTACATTTACCTGAGTTACAATAATGCTAATTTAAAATCAGCACTCACCTGTGGAAGACGTGCTGTTCTGTGCTCTGTCCCGGCCTGGATGAACCGTCTCCGAAGCTCCACAGGAAGCTGATGTCAGTCCCCACATTGACCCAGCAACTCACCACCACCGTCTGGTTCGGCAGGACAGAAGCCTGGTGGAGCAGCCTGTTGAGCTTCACTGCTCTCTGGACTACCAGCGAGAACACATCGGAGGTGAGGGAGGCCCGGCCAACTGGCATCGCAACTACAACTACATCATACCTATGTTGAGGAAAGGGAGCATGATAAATACTACTGCCAATGGTCCTATTCAGGAAAAGATCTGTATATGTACATAACTCCATTAATTTTTGTTAACAGGTAAAATAACTTAAAAGTGAACTTTAGGATTTTAAATATCTTGTTGTTCCTGGTTGTTTTCTCTTTTCTATTCGGGGTATAGAGTTTACGCACAAGCTCTCAAACTGATTACTCATGTCTCATACCTGCCAGGTTTTTGGTATCTTTTAGTGACGGTCCTTAAAGTGGTTCTGGCTGATCTAGAGTCTCCAAAGTGCCAGAGGAACTCTACAGGGTCTGGTACTTCAGCCACAGCCAGGAAAGTTATATCTGTATTTGTGGGGTAAGCTTGCTTTGTTGCATAAATCCGCACTGTTAGGGGAAAACCATATAATATTTATATATACCACAAATTATACATGGTTCATGACAGAAATAGCCAAACAAACAATAGAAAAGGTGGACCTGAAAACACAGACATTCATCGACTTCATCATTTTGAATGTTTTCACTTTTTAAGAACCAAAGTCATAAAATAACTGGCAGGAAATAAGTGATTCTTCAACAGCTTAGAGCTGTCAGATTCAGATAAAAACACAAGACCTTTATTGAACTAAGTGTGCATATAAAAAAAAAAGCATACTTGGAAAAAAGTGAATTCTGAGCTTAGTCACGAAATGTCATAATCAAAGGAAAAAATGTTTGGACACTGATTTAAGATGAAAATCTCAGACACATACTTAACCGTTAGAAGAAAAGAATTTTTTATTAATGTCCAAATGTTTTGTACTGCTCATGGGGTGTTAATTAAAAATACTTCCTCACCATTGTCTGCGAGGCTGTGAACAGGACTTTGACTGGTAGGTGGTTGCCACGTTGCATTAGCTCTAACTTGTGGTAACGACATCCTGTTCCTGTCAAAACACACTCTTAGGCTTTTGTTCTGAGAAGACACTTGATTTTCAGCTCGAAGCTCCACCGCAACTGTCCTGGTGTGGTTGAGAAGCAAAACCACTGTTGCCTCTTCACCTGTCGTGTAGCTGCTGTTTCTGTAGAGAAGTGTCGCATTCGCCAGCAGAGACACAGTCACATTTGACCCTGCAGTGACACTAAATAAAACGGGGTACATTTGATGTGCTGTGATCACACTGGGAACATTCAACACCAACCCTCCAACCGGGTCTTGAGCGAGGATGTGTGTGCAGAATGAGGCCCAGCTGATTGGGTTAAAGGCCTTAACTGTCACTTCATAACGGCCTGCTACTGCAAGAGACACATTTACGTTCCATTCTTCAGTCGTCCTGCTCATCACAATAACACTATCCAAACTAAAAGTCCAAATCACTTTTGACCCCATTCGGTTCGCAGGGCTGACGACCTCCAGGCTGAGTTCTGAGCGTGTTGAAACCACTGACTTCCAACTCCCAGAAGGCCTCAGGGCACATATGTGTTCGTACACCATCAAGGGTCGAGGCAGGACGGTGGAGAGCAGCACTGACGAAGGGTCAGAATTGGAGAGAACAGACGATGTGAGGCAATACTGTCCTGCAGTGGTGGGGAGGCGGCAGTGAAGGTGGAGGTGCAAATGGCAGCTTGAGCGTTTGGAGGTGTGGAGGAGATGAAGGGAGGTGAAGTGGTGGGCATCAGAGCCAACATATAAGTGGGTGGCACCATGAAAATAGATGTTTTGGTGGTTTTGGTTGAGTTGATAATTGCTGCTGCAGTTGTGATCGTTGCTGTTTTCCTGGTGAGAGTTTTTGCTTGAATGATTTTCAGCTTTGTCACTGATGTTTTTATTGTCACTACTAAAGTCTCCACCGTCAGTGTTGCTTAAATTATCCCTCATGCCAATGTTGCTGACCTCAGCATTCAGCGAGAGGTCGAGGGCGAGTAGGTGCTTCATCGTGGTGAACAGCTCCACGTCTACAGAAATGCCTTCCCCGGCCATTAGCGGATCCCCCGGCGCACTCACTCTGAGGTCAGAGACGGCAAGACGCACAATCGCCTGTGAGTGCACACACACCCACATGTGTTGGACATTAAAACATGCACACAAAAACACACAAATGTGAAAGAGATTAAGGATAAGCCAGATCCTATTTAAAATTTCCTCCAGTTTGTGTAACATCTGCTACAAACTAAAGGTGCCAGCTGTTTTAGGAAATCACTGGGAATGTTTTTTTTTTTTTTAAGTGAAACGTTTTCATTGGAGCCATGGGGCTTAGTGCTGAGAGCCACAGACAGGCAGACTTTGAGACATTGTTGAGTTTGGTCTTTTCGTAGGTTTTGCTGGTGATACGACACATTTAAAATATCACCAGCCTTATCCATAATAAACATGAACATGATATCTTCAGTAAATGAAAGCCTCACAAGGACTCACAACATATATCGTCTCCTGTGTCCATCCAAAGGCACTGGAGGCGTTCACTGACACCATGTGAACTCCCTCTGTTTCAAAGGTCCAGTTCTGGAGACAAAATGAATTTAATTTTTTTAATTTGTTAGATTAAAACCATGACAGTGAGTTTAGAAAGATTTGAGATTAAAGAATTTTCACTTTAATCCTTTTTTGGATATGTTTTACATAAAACACCTTTTTGTCCTCGTAAATCACCAACAGAGAACAGCATTCCTTCTGTACTGACAGAAACCCTATAAATTCTTACTATTTGCTTTGATGAGTGGTGTCTTTACCTATCAAATGATTAATTAAAACTAGATGGATATGGACCCTGAGAGAGATGGACTCAATACCAAATCCAATATTTGGATTTCCATTTGCCATGGCGATCTGAGAAACACATGCGAATCAGAGTTTGGTTGTGTCCCTTTCTCCTTCATGGAGGCTATGAAGAGAAGTTCAATTAATAACTCACTAAATAGTTGCCTATTGTACACAGTTCACAGTTTTTATTAGTGGGTTTGTTAGCGAAGAAAACAACAATGTCAAACTTGCCTTGTCGTTAGTATCCAGGGCTTGCTGCAACACGGACCTTTTCTCTTGTAAAATGGAAGTCATTTAGCAGCACACTGCTGCCAACTCTAGTTAGCTCAGTGAACACGGATGGGACGGGACTGAACAACAAGTCTTGTGTGATGTTATACTGTAAATGAACAAAATGTTCCGTCTCCTTGCTGGTTGTTTGACACATTCACCACTTTTTCGATTATCATTGTCATTAACATGCGGCTCGCTTCATTATATTTTAAAGGCTCATTATTACGTTTTTGTATTTCTCTGTAATGTTGCACAGTGTTAACAGTGTTACTAATATAATCAATCTCAGCCTTGGATGCCCCAAAAATATATATCAAGTTAAATTATTTATCATTACAAAGTTGTATAATGAAAAGAAAGTTTGTAGTCCCTTCATGCTACTCACATAGAACTAAACAGATAATTAAGTGTAGGCTATATTAAAATGTGGTAACATAAAAATAATTAGGAAAAAACTCATATATATTTAAATAATATATATATATATATATATACACACACATATACACACACACACACACGTATATATTTTGGTCAGAGCAGCCCTACCCTCTTGGTCATGATGCTTATGTGAATTTTTCACATTCTACGTATTGACCCTTGACCCCTCTTAAATAAGAAAGGTTAATACTTTTCGGCTGTTCTTTATGGGTCCTTATTCTGTTGTTGGGAGTTTCACCAAACAGATTTCAGAAAATTCCAGATTTCACTGATTAGTTGGATTACTGTTCAGTAATGATCTTCCAGATGAGACACTTTCATAATAAAATGCATATTACAACAGAACTTCTTTTCTCACCAAACCTAATCCTAAGAATTCTGTGTATATAATTCATCATAAATCTTGAATCCAATTATTTACATCAAATGAATATTTTTATTTTCAAAAAGCCCATTTTATTCATATTTGAGGCTGAGCCAAGACTTTTATAATGACTGGCAGAGCATGTTTAGCTCAATATTGAAAGGGTTATATAAAGGAGTCACAAAAAGACTAGACTTTAAACATGCGCAGGCTGACATTACAGGCGCATTATTTATTCATTGGTATTAATAATACATTAAACAAATATCTCTTGTTGTCTTTGAATGTGCTTCATTTAACTTAGACTTTGAGGTTTTGTTGACTCACGACACACAGAAAAATCCATTGTCAGACTCTGTAAATGGCTATCTGTTAAAAAAGCATTGTGATCAAATAAAAAGAGGGAACTTGAATGCTGAAAATGTTTAACTTTGAGATACATCTGAACCACATACTAGTGCTATTTTCTGAGCCCTACTTACCACGGTGCTGTTCAGACAGCCTGAGTTGGGAAGGCAAGCTGTCTTTACACCCTCTGTGTTCTTCTCTTTTCCCTTGTGAGCAAACCACCAAATAAACTCTAGCGGCGGACCATCAGCTGTGTATGCCTGCAGTGTGACAGGGTCGCCCAGGTACGCTGCCTCGACTGCCTCGCTCTTGGAGCCTGTCTGTAGGAACGGGATGCAGGAGGGGACACCCAGGGGCCCATGAAGAACAGAGATCATCAAGCTGTCTGTGGAGTGATGCAAGACAGAGAGCTGGAGGGTGGAGGAGAGTGTGGAGAGGGGGTTGGAGACACTGACGTCTACACAGAAAATGACACAATGAAAAAGAGTAGGGAGAGAGAGGGTTACAACATAATAATAATAATAATCATCATCATCTTTTAGTTCATTACTTATTCATCATTCAACAAAATGTGTTTGCTCCTGTTGACTTACTGAGTTCATATTTTCCCGGAGTTTCCAAAATCCAATCAGATGACACAACAAAGGAACCGTCATCCAACAAATTCACACGATGTGAACTTTGACCTCTAGGGGTTGTTTCCTGAAACTCAACAGTGACATGAGAGAGATCCTGCCCTCTCAGACCCAGAATTCCTAAAAATCACAGAAAAACTTATTTAAAACAAAAACATATGCTGCAAAATAAATTAAATGATGTAAACATTAATCAAATATGCTGATATTTTCTGTCTGTGAGTAAATATAATATTTATATATAGGAATGAATTATTGTTGTTATTGTACCTCATAAAATAGATCAAAACATTTTCTAAAAAATAATCATTAATTTAGAATTAAATCTGGAGCAGTTGTTCTGTATTACATCATTGTTCATATTTATAATTATTTGATCACTTTTAACCACATTACATAGTACATCTGCAGCTGTTAAAAAACAATAACGGAAAATGTGTTTTCCACTGCAATGCACAACTTTATTAGTTACACATTGCGAGGTGGCTTTGACTGTGTTTTGCACATTGTTTCTTTATAAAAGAATTGAACCTTCAAAAGTTCAAATAAATACACATATATACACAATAACAAACACTGACTACACAAATGCTGCATTTTAAAAAGCAGCTGGAGCAGTCTTGTGCATGGATACACTAATAACTGTAATAATAATAGTTTATAATGAAAATAATATTACATCATTCATATAACTGTAAATAATATAATTCATTATATCCATTTATTCAAGCAAAGTGCTTCATGTAAAACCATGAGAAATATACAACACACAGAAAATAAATGTTAAGGACATAACAGACACTATTATATACAGTAAACTATTAAAAATCATTTTCACTTGCACATAAAGGAGAAAACATGTTCATCCAAACAAACCTCTTTGCCAAGTAAGAAAGTATTTATAACACAGGAGTCAACCTAGGTGCAACTTGCAGAGTCTTATTCCCAAGAACTTAACCTGAGGAAAGTACCCACTGACCTGTGGGCTGGCTGGGGCGTCCAGCCAGGTTTCCTGAAACTTCCACGACAAAAGCCTTCCCAGCCTGCACTCTGTCTGGAGAAGTAGACAGCCGAACACTGTGCAGGAATGGTCCTTCAGTTCTGTAGAGTGCCACACTTCCTGGTCCACCTCCAGCAGGCATGCTAGAAAAGAAAAGATTCAGCAGGTCAAAACACAAAAAGCTTCAGAGACTGGTGTACTGACATTACAGCTCAGAATGTACACATTTGAATTTTAAATGTTTTACTCAGACTGAATTTGGTGGCATTCAGGAGATATTAACACAGAGGTTTTACACTGCCACTTTTGGATGACACAGAACTAGAGAAGCCATGATTAGAGGTGGATAGAAAAAGGAAAAGGCATCAGTCTTGCTCACCTTTGTCTTTCACTTTCTCCTCTGGCATCCTTTGTCCCTCCTTTGGAAGATGTGTTGAAACACTCTCTGGCCACCAAGCCGTGTTGCCGGTTGTCGCAGTAACAACCCTCTGAGGTCAACGCTGCAACCTGGTACCTTCAACAACAAAAACTTAAAGTTAATAAAATACCACTTTAAGTGCTGCACATGCATCAACTCAGTGCCCATGTGAAGATGTCTTGTGAAAGTATTGTAATGACTCACATGCAACAAACATTTGGTGTGCATCAATAAGCTACATGTTATTGCACACTATAAAAACATACTTACTTCCAACATAATGTCTAAGTTCTGCAAAATCAGCCAATTTCTCCGACTGAGCCCAGAGGCCAAAGCACACTTTTTATTTTAATGTTTAAGGGCTTTTTGTTTATTGAAATAAACATTTTAAAAGCTTAAAGCCCACTGAGTTTATTTTCAGATTTTTCTCATAAGAAAAACAATGGATGAAAAGAAGGACTTATCACATATATATGTATTTGTTTTTAAGCTGGCCTGGTGTTTGAAAATAAATTTTGTATCTAAAATATTTCAGAGTGAGAACATCACAACTGCACAAATGCAGAAAGCTACTAAAAACATAACAAAGAGGTCTGCTCTGATACAAGATTATTACTCACTGCTAAGAAGTAACTCCTTCCAATGAGTATTTCTAAAAATCATAAAGTGGATTTTTTTTCTTCTGTAATCTCACACAAATATTCAAACCAGCTTTAGCTGAAATGCAACTGACTCGACCTGCTCTTTTCCAGCTTACCCCTCATCCAGGCAACGTGCACAGCAGGTTACCGGGTCAAGGTCACGTCCACCTTTGGGTGCATAAAGCCTGTTGCTGTCGTTGACGCATCCCATGAACCACGGTGAATCCTCGTGACCTGATGGGTGGGCTGCCGCAGACAAGCGATGAAAAAACGGATATAATGAAACGAGCGCGTAGACAAAAGCACCGAGCATGTCTGAGGCCTCAAAGCAACTACTGCAGCTGGATGGACCGACCGTGTTTGACGAGGACGTAAAGAGGACTGCACGTTTCAGGCTGAGCAGAGGGGAGGAAATGGAGGAGAAAAGGTGCAGGTGCATTGACCAAACCCCTCCCCCCGAATCTGTGCAGAAAAGGTGTGTGGGAGGTGAAAACACAGAGGGACTGTGTGCAAATGAAGGCAGGAGGAAGCTGCTTTTTACTGAGAAGGGTTAAAAAAGAGAAGCGACCTTCTAATTATAGGCCAGATAATATGCTGCTACGCAATAAAATAAGCAAACCATCGTGGATTTGTGTCGGTAATAATTAAATATTAGTGAGGCGGTATGTTTCCTGTCAAGCTGGTAAGGGTGAAGGCATCACTGCTCCTCTTTCCTGATACACTTTTTTCTGTAGCCTTTTTTGTTTATGGCGTCGTGATGTTTAAGATTTGAAATAAATCTGCACCTGAACTTTTGAATATAATAATGTTCCTTCTAAGTTAATATAAGGTTTAATGCCACTTGTTAGTCTGCACGTGAAAATCACAATTACAAAGGTCACTGGTCAATGCCAATTAGTATTACCAGAGTTAGTGCTTTTACAAGTGCGTGCAAAATAAAGCAACTACCACAGGTAAAAGTTGCGTATTGCTGTTCTTTTGTCACAAAAAACTGCAAAATTGTGTGTTTAATGGTGCGAAGAAAATCGTGGCCACATTGAACAAAACACTGGAGGAAAAAAAAAGAAAGTCTGTTCAAACCATAGGCCTATGTAGCCTTCACTTTTGTCTGTAAAATCATTCTGTTAGTCTGCTGATATTAAATCATTTAATTACGATACATTGAGCTGGCCTACAAAGTGACCTGTGCCACGCACCCACATGCTTCACATAGGCTAGGCCTACACAATCTGCATCATGAGAAGGGAATAAATTATTTCTTCACAGACAAGTTCGTGAGACCTAAGTTGCGTCGAGCCGTCACCTTATTGATTTGATTCAGCACATTTGAATCTGGTTGGAGTACGTGAGGGCCAGAGGCTGATCTGAGTTCTTTCATTGACATTTAAAAAACATCTGGATCTTCTAAAGCACCAGAAAGTGTGCTAATCACGTCTTGTTTTATTATGTCAATAGAAATACGGTGCCAAAGTTTTTTAGCCAGCCGACCTGAAGCAGTCATTATATTAGGTTACTATTAAAGCAGTGGCCAACAGTGAATGAGATGCAACAAGAAAAATATGCGAATCTCGTTGAGCCTTTAGTTTTACTCTGAGTCTCAATATTAATTTTCCTGACAAGTTAAAGGACAACGGGGTGACACATCCTACAACAGAGCTGTGTGAATGAGTCTTCTGTTGTCACCCTGCTCGGGTCGAGGTCGCCACTCACTCGCTTAATTCAAGGGGATTCTTCTATAACGTCGTTTTTAAACAGGCGAAATGAGCTCACCAGCAGTGGTGTTTCTGAACTTTCTTTGAGGAAGGTAAGTAGTGTGAGCTCGGGCACGAACTCCCTCTACGGACGCACATTTTTTGCAGAGTAATTCAGAGCTAAAAACTGCAAAAACACAACGGAACCGGTGATGTTTTTTTCGTCTCGAGTCCAGATTGCCCCGTGAGCAATGAGTAGTGGAGAAAAAGCGTCCTCGTCGTGCAGCTAACTCCACCGGTCCACCTTAAAAACATCTTCCGGTTTTCCAGACATCCCCTTTAAGAGAATGTCTAGTGCTACTTGCGACCAGCTGGGGGCGCTGTCAGACCGCACTATCTCCTCGGGCTGACTGTAGCAGAGAGAGGCACAGAGGGTGGTGGGGGGGGGATCAAACACATTTCCTCTGTCCATTTTTTATACGGAATACGCGCAGATTTCGTTTCGCCTCTCCTCTCAGGGACCCGCAGACGTCTTCACATCATACAAACACCAAGCACCCACAGCCCACATGTGCCCAAAGATCTTATTTGATTTAAAAAAAAAAACTAAATAGAGTCTTTTTTTTGTATTGATGATTTAACATAGATTCAACTGCATATGCTACATGAAAACAAATCAGTCGTTAGGGTGAAACCTATATTTGACGCCCATATGCGCATTAAATTGGGATCCTCCCATGTGAATTCATTTAGCCTGTAGCCTGGTGGAAATAACATAAGGCTTTATTTGCTGCGGGACCCCCGGAGCCCATTAGAGAACTGCCGTGGAGGTCACCATTTCACACTTTGAAAAGCTTTTCCTAACCGAACATGCAGCGCTGTGGCGGAGACGCTGCGTAAAGCCCACTGGCAGGCCTGCTCTAAACCCGAATAACCTGCTTCATTCGTTAAGCGCTCGGTGTGTTTTCAGTGTGTACACGCCGTGACACATTTAACAAATGATTATGTCAACGAAATCTTGAAAAATAAGTTGCCAGAGAAGCGCTGTGGCGATGCGTAACGGAGAGCACTAACGGACAGACGAGGCGTTATGTAAGCGCCTGCAGTCTGCGCCCCTATACCGAGGACACAGAGTCCGCAGGAGAAACCAGTACAGCTGACTCCGGTATACTGTGAAGTCGCTTGAGGTGGAACGATATTGATAATAGATACAGACTTAAGGTTTCTATCATAAAAGCTGGGGTGATGGGGGTGGAACACCAGCCCATTAACTGAGTTTACACACCTTTACATTGGCACAATTTTAACGCGTTTATCGACTGACATTAAACCGCAGGAGAGGTAAGAAGAGGCTAAACAAACAACTTCAAGATATAAACTGAGGAGATGGAAAAAATAACACAACATTTAAGTTGTGCCTACGATGAGCAGAGACTAGGGATCACCTCTTCACAAACAGAGCGCATCTGAGTGTAAATATAGTTGGGACGTTTTAATTAAAAAAGTTACATGATTGCCCCCCTCCCCCAAACAAAATAGACAGGCTATGTTCTTGGCTGTCCCATCATGGTGACTGCAACTTCTTCTTTCCCAACCAAATTGTTTTTGGTTTTCTGGAGGAATATCAACTCCTTCTAACAGTTTCTTTGGCATAATTATCAGAGGACTTTCTACAAACTGAACTATATTTAAGGAAATTAAACTCCCATCTCCCTCCACATGTAGAAGCTCAAATGCCTTTATCAGTTGATGTTTTATAAAGAAGCCCTATTAAGGCTGTGGTTTGGTGAACATCTTTACATTTAGCCTATATTTCAATTAAATAGATTTTTAGAGCCAATATTAAATGCAGGGCACATAAGCAAGCAAGGATACAGCAATTCCATTTAAACACGTCATCTGTAAACCACATCAGGTTGCTTGAGAACCTGGTGTGACCCCAGAGGTTACCGCAACTTACAGTATATTGTTGCACCTTATCACCTTTGTGATATTTGAAATGGATGCAGACAAACATTTTTATTGTGGAAGAAGCCCAGGCCCAGAGAAGCAAACGCTGCATCATGTTGCCAAAACACAAATGAAACAAGATGAGCAGATTAGGCAGTCATGGCAGCGAGTTTCCACAAGAGAATAATAGACAACTCAATCAAGTAAAAAAAGATGTACCAGATAAAATGTGTGTTATTTGCAGAAATAATAAAATGACAGAAGAAGCAGTTGTTTGAATCTATTTTGTTTCACATGACTGAACCAGCTTGCTCAGTTTTATTCTATGATCTACTCCCACATACATATTTTTCAGTCTATAGTATTTATACTTTGTATCACAAGCAGCAGTTTACTGTAGTAGTTTGGATATTTCTGTGTAATCTGTAAGACATAGCTTTCACCTTTCTATCCAACCTGAAAAACACTTAATAGTAAACAACTAACTGCATTTTTTGAAAGACTCATGTAAAGCATATATAAAGAATCACCATGTCCCCTGTCTCAATATTACTACATAATTATGTGATATTTATCACTCTGTGTTCATTAATGAATGAGGCCTAACTAGCAGTGAAGTCATACATTAATTAAGGTGTCATCCCATCAGCTGCATTAAGTGAACAAAGGCTGCTCAAACCTAGTAAACCTAGAAAAACAGAGCATTGATGGTTTAATGGGTCTATTAGAACACACACATTTATTAGATCCTAAAGCTTTATTAAAGCATGAGTGGCACCTCATTGTAATAAAGTTTTAGTCCAGACAGGAGTCACCACTTTGCTCAAACATGTTAAGTTAAGTATCCTTATTTAAAATCTATTTGATGGAGCTCCCCCCCCCCCCCCCCCCCCAGATTACACTCCAAACAAGCCTCAATCAGGCCAAATTATTAACCAGGATCCACTGTAACACACAGATCTTATCAGAGCTGGATCACCTAGATCCAAGTCGCCTGTGTTTGAAAACAGCAGCTAGAAAGGGTTGGCGAAAAACACATTAAAAACTTAGTTTAACAGGATATTATAGGCCTTCAACTGAAATCACACAAAGCAAAACATTTTTAAGAAAACATATCAGTGGACTAAAGAAGCACCAGGAAATAAAAATATCAAAATAAAAATGTAAAAAATAATAGTAAATAGTAAAAAAAATACTAACTATAATAAAAAATTAAACTGTAATAATATTATGTTGATGATTTTTTAACACCCCTCCCCAATCCTGTTGAGACAAAAACAGAATATACCTGTAATATCTTGCAACTGAACTCACTATTTGCTTAGACTTTGTAAAGTCTTCACACAAATATGAATATAACTAAAGGAAGAAATAAAGGTAACATCATTGTCAACTCACGATTAAACATAACATTTTGATCATCTATAGGCCCTAGCAATACCATAAGATAAAGTGGTAAAGAATCTAATTTAACATGACCAATAATTCATTATTTAGATCTAGAGATGCCCTTGATTTTTAATGTAAAGTTCTACTCGTTTGTCATTTGAAGTTGAAAGCACCTTCTAAGGCCTAAGTAAGGAGTTAGTTACAATAAGTCTTGAGTCTCCAGCTTTCCTCTTTGTCCCACATCCTGAATACCCGATATAAAGAAGTGGGTGAAAAAAGTTTGCTGAAACCTTATCTGGCAAAGGCCCAGACAGCCTTAAAAAGTGTCCCATTTTATTTCCTACCCAATTTAAGAAACTTCATATGGAAGAGGAGAAGAAAGGTGGCTCATCTGCTTAAATATGGGTTTGACACATCATGTCTCCTGGCTGCGCGCCCTGCGGCAAGGCAATAAGCGGTGTTTTTCATGTCTGACGTTTGACATATAGCCCTAACTGAACAAGAAGGGCTGTAGGTGAGAATATCTGTCGACTTAGGCAAGGGCCAATGGCGCTGACATAGTAATCAATAATCAACAAGCTGTGGCCTGAATGCTTGTAGGCCACTGGTAGAAATCCAGCTCTTTTGTTGAGGATTGTTTTTATTTTCTATGTTAATAATTCAAATAACATACAAGTTTTTTATGTCCCTGTGTGGCTGATGTTCTATTCTGTGTGTGTGTATGTTTGTGGCTTTTATCCCCAATCCAGCCTGGGCTCCTTGTCCTAACTCCCTGGTATGAGGGGTCAAAGGTCACCGCCGCTTGTGGCCGTGGTCAAATTCCCCTATAGGGTGTAATGTTCTCAACATTATTAAGGGAACTAGTGTCCAGATATTAGTTCTTAGGCCTTCGAACGTTTTAATCGGCTGATATAAAGGATAGCACACACAGGAGCTTTAAATCTTAAGCCCTATATAGGACTACACACATTTTATAGCTGCTTATATTACATGTTTCTAAATGGGCTGCAAAATCTTAATTTAAAAATAAGTTATCATCGTTGAATTCATTATACATAGATATATGACAGACATGTTGTCCTCCTATTGATGGAAAGTTGTCCAACATCTTTTAGGCCAACCTCTAAAAAATGTGACCAGTAAAACCAGTGTGTGTGTGTGTGTGTGTGTGTGTTGTGTCTGTGTGTCTGTGTGTGTGTGCCTGTGTGTGTCTGTGTGTTTGTCTGTGTGTGTGTGTGTGGAGGAGGGGTTCAACTTAAAGGCCAATCACTTTTTATTTCAAAATAAAAACTTTAAGAAAAGGCCTTCATAAATAGTCTTTGTAAATCATATTATCATACATTAATTTTGATGTATTTTAAAAAAAGAAATAATATATATAATATAATATGCATGTTTTTAATACTTATAATAATAATTATATAGCAAATTATAATTATAAGAAGGATGGTTGTTGAAACATGCTCACACATGACACATGTTCAGTCATTCATGTAATGGGATTAAGCAAATTTGAACAGGAAAAACTTTAACTTTGTTTATCCAAAATGCAGGTCACTGTAAAACAACCATAAAGTCCACAGTTTTAGTTTTCATCTGCACTGCTTCCAAACTCACACAGTTTTAGTTTTCATCTGCACTGCTTCCAAATGAAAACAACATTTTTCTGTCACATTAACTGACCATGAAATCTGATGAGGATTGAATACTACATTAATCTGAGTTTGTATATTTTTACAAAATTATCTCCACACCCCCAACCATACTGGAACTTAAAACAATTTTATATATAAGAAATGTGTAGGCCTAAATAGTTTTCATTAGTTCTGTAAAATATCCTCTAGTTAAAGCTGATGAATAATTCATAAATAAACTTCTGATGGGAGCCATGGGCTATA